ATTATTATCATTATCATCATATGACCTGACTATACAGACACTGAGCCACACGGTGGAGGTCAACAAGCGAGAGTGCCCTCACCAAATGCTCTCCCAAAAACGTCAGATTCTGGAGACCGTGACGTCGGCCTTGGAGAGGAACCAGAGAGAGGTTCTGCAGCAAAGTCAGCGCCTCCTGAGAAACACCTCGGCCGCCATGGGAGAGGTGCTGGCCAGTTTGGAGAAGAGGTTGAGCGATGTCGAGCACAAGCTACTGGTGAGAGTCTCTCACTGTTGAATATCTTCCTATACTCTCACTGTAGAATATTATCTTCCTATACTCTCACTCTTGGATATCTTCCTGTACTCTCACTGTTGGATATCTTCCTATACTCTCACTGTTGGATATCTTTCTATACTTTCCTATACTCTCACTGTTGGATATCTTTCTATACTCTCACTGTTGGATATCTTCCTATACTCTCACTGTTCGATAACTTCCTATACTTTCCTATACTCTCACTGTTGGATATCTTCCAATACTCTCACTGTTGGATATCTTCCTATACTCTCACTGTTGGATATCTTCCTTTTCTTTCCTATACTTTCACTGTTGGATATCTTCCTATACTCTCACTATTGGATATCTTCCTATACTCTCACTGTTGGACATCTTCCTATACTCTCACTGCTGGATATCTTCCTATACTTTCACTGTTTGATATATCTTCCTATACTTTCCCTGTTTGATATCTTCCTATGCTTTCATTGTTTGAGTATCTTCCAATACTTTTACTGTTTTATATATCTTCCTATACTTTCACTGTTTGATATAATATCTTTCTATACTCTCACTGTTTGATATATCTTCCTATATTGAGCAGGAAAGTCTTACCCTAGAGTTGTGAGATAGTATGTTGTGGAACTGAAACTGTATTGTCTATTGATAAACTGGTTGGTGGAATATGTGATAATTTGGTTAATGGAGTGTGTGATGAATTGGTTAGTGGAGTTTGTGATAAATATGTTGAATGACAGGGTGATAAACTGGCTAACTAACTGGGTTGTAAACTGGTTGACTGATCAATGGGTAAACGGAGAAACTAGCTGCGGCCAGGATGCCTGACTGACACAAAATACTTCACGGAGTCCCAAAACTCTCTGGCTTGCTCTCTCGGAGCATACTGGCTTGATATCTCCGCGAAACTTAATCTCTCACCATTAACATTTCCCAAAGCCGTTCATCAAATCCTGCTCTGTGGATTTCTCTCCAGCCCCAGTCGTGCGCTAGTGTCAAGGGTTTGGGTCCTCGACCGGTGGTCCTTCTCTCCAGCGGCCAGCGAGTCGTCTGTGACACAGTGACGGACCAAGGTGGATGGATCGTGATACAGGTGAGTGCTGTCTTAGTAACATACAGGTGAGTGCAGGCTGGTACACTGCAGCTGAGTACAGTCATAGTAACATACAGGTGAGTGTACGCTGGTGCAGTACAGGTGAGTACTGTGTTAGTAACATAAAGGTGAGTACTGTCATAGTAACATACATGTGAGTATTGTTTTAGTAACATACAGGTGAGTACTGTCTTAGTAACATACAGGTGAGTATTGTCTTAGTAACATACAGGTGAGTACTGTCTTAATAACATACAGGTGAGTACTGTCTTAGTAGCACACAGGTGGGTGCTGGCTGGTACACTGCAGCTGAGTACTGTCTTAGTAACATACAGGTTAGAGCAGGTTGGTACAGTACAGCTGAGCGCAGGCTGGTACAGTACAGATGAGTACTGTCTTAGTACCATACAGGTGAGTGCAGTCATAGTAACATACAGGTGAGTGCACGCTGGTGCAGTACAGGTGAGTAATGTGTTAGTAACATACAGGTGAGTACTGTCTTAGTAACATACAGGTGAGTACTGTGTTAGTAACATACAGGTGAGTACTGTCTTAGTAACATACAGGTGAGTGGAGGCTGGTACAGTCTAGGTGAGTAATGTCTTAGTAACATACAGGTGAGTACTGTCTTAGTAACATACAGGTGAGTACTGTCTTAGTTAATTACAGGTGAGTACTGTCTTAGTAACAAACAGGTGAGTACTGCCTTAGTATCATACAGGTTAGAGCAGGTTAGTACAGTAAATGTGAATACTGTCTTAGTGACATACAGGTGAGTGCAGGCTGGTACAGTACAGGTGAGCACAGGCTAGTACATCCCCGGTGAGATCAAGATTATTTTACTGTAATGAAGGCTAGTTGTTGCTCAACGATTTTCCAAGCAATAAAAGTAATCGTGCGTACAGTACACCATACGTACCTCCACAAAGACATAATATGAGGATATAATGTTTCAACGTGTCTGCTTCTCAATAAACAAGAAACAGTAAAAGTAATAAAACAAACTCCCAGGAAACATTAGAATTGCAACGGTCTTTCGAATCACAGAACAGTCATGAAACATTACTGGTAACTTTAAACTAACTATCTCTACTTTAGAAGTAGATAAAAGCCCAGCAAGATAACTCCAACAATGGCTTTTTAGCACGCTAAATTATGACGAAAGGCCTTACTTAGAACAACGCGTAATGTTTTTGTATGTTCTGCAGAGACGTGCTTCGGACGACGTGGACTTTTTCCGTGGCTGGGACGATTACAAGTACGGATTTGGAGACCTCCACGGCAACTTCTGGCTCGGGCTAGAGAAAATCCACCAACTGACAAGTCAGGCAAGTTGTTTACGATTTGAAAACTGCCGCAGTGGACTGTCCAAACTACGTGACAGTGTATTACAAAAACACGATCATGGGTTTAATGTCTCTATCAAGACTATTAAGTTATTTAAGAGGCGGGGGCCTCAGAGCTTAACGTCCATCTCCGAAAGGACAGGGCCAAATAGGAATTTCGTGTAAAGTGCCGTTCCCAAGGACTCAACGTCCGACCCAGCTGAGGATCAAACCTCCTAACCTGCAATCTCACGATTACGAGTAGCCTAACCACTAGGAGTGTAATACATGGCCAGTGTACAATCTACTGGACAAACAAAATGACAGCACAGGCAACCCTGTTGTTGCCGACGTACGAGTTGCTGCTGCTGTTGTTGTTGTTATTGTTGTTGTTGTTGTTGTTGTTGTTGTTGTTGTTGTTGTTGTTGTTGTTGATGTACGTGTTACTCTTGTTGTTGATGTTGTACGTGTTGTTGTTGTTGTTGTTGTTGTTTTACATGTTGTTGTCATTGTTGTTGTTGTTGTTGTACGTGTTGTTGTTGTTGTTGCTGTTGTTGCTGTACGTTTAGCTGTTATTGTTGTTGTTGTTGTTGTTGTTGTTGTTGTTGTTGTTGTTGTTGTTGTTGTTGTTGTTGATGTACATGAAACACATCTCCTGTCTTTGACAAGGGGTTTCTCATTGATGTTATTCTATGAGTAAATACACAGCCCATCTAGACACACTTTAGAACAGTTCTAAAGCAGAAGACGTGGTCTTCATCTCAGGACACCAAGTTGAGAGGAAATCTTTGGGAGGTCCGGCATTGGAACCTGGCACAGATTTGAACCTGTACCATCTGTCACTGTCGGGTTCATGAGCAACTGAGACATAGCCACCGAATTGTGCATGTGTTGAAGCCACATGAATCTACAGCAAGTTTTAATTTTCTACGGGTTGTTTTCATTATCTTTACGTTGTCATCACCAGGTGAGACACGAACTGAGGTTCGATTTGAGATTCGAGGGAAAAAACTACTCTGCCAGCTACGACAAGTTTTCGCTGTCTGGAGAAACTGACAACTATAGGATTCAGATTTCTGGATTTTCCGGCAATGGAAGAGACGACATGGCTATTCACAACGGTCAGTCGTTCTCAACCATGGACCACGACAACGACTCATCGGGAATCAACTGTGCCAGTAAGTACCATGGAGCTTGGTGGTACAACCGCTGCCATGCCGTGAACCTCAACGGATTGTGGGGCAGCACAGAGGGCGCTAAAGGATTGAGGTGGAGCAGTGTAACATTGGGCTCGGTTTCCTTCAGCGAAATGAAGATTCGACCTTCCGCTAAGTGACAACTTCACGAGACCGAATTGTCCTGCTGAATATTATTATGCTCCTGGATGTTTGCGTGTCTGTGTGTTTTTTGTTGTTGGTTTTTTTTCATACTGACAGAATCAGGAAAACGTAACAAATCTTAGACGTGTTATATTTCGTATGTACCATCGTGTCAGGTCATTTATTGATATGTTAAAGAAAAAAAACATCTGATAGAGATACAGAATCATATCAAAATGCATTGTACAGTATTAAAAATATCGCGAACCAAACATTTCTTTTTTTAAAAAACTTTGTTACATATAAATACACGTTCGAAGACTTACACAAATATCCATGCACACATACACGGACACATACATGCACACCAAAGCCTTCACTTACAACTCTCTCATGCTCTTCCCCTCACACCAAAGTCTTCACTTATCTTACAACTCTCTCATGTTCTTTACATTACACATTGGCTGTTGTTTTTGTTTTTGTTTTTGTTTTTTT